TTGCTGATCATTTCAGTCGCATCTACCAAAATAGCGAGGAGAACTCCCCTCGCTCAGACAGATGAATTTGCTAGGACCCAACAGCCTAACTTGTGTCGGGTGCTGTGTCCTCGACACCCACTGATCTCAGTGGATAGTGAATTTACTCAACACCTCTTCAAGAATTGGGAGGCTAATAGGTGGGGGGGGAAAAACCCCAAACCAAAACATTTCCTTGCTGCCTTTTGAGTCTATTAGATGTCTGGAGCTCACCTCTGGACACGGGCATGCTCCTATCAGTTTAGTGCCACTGGGTTCAGCTGAATCGCTAGTGAGCGTCGTATTGCTGCGAGCAATGAATTCAGCACCCTTTCACCTTCCTGCCTTCCTCCCACCAACAAACGCCCCCACCTATTACGACTGGCAAAACAGTAGCAAACTCTTCTGCAGTTCTGGTGGACAGTTTGCTAGCCCCTGCTCTTGGGTTTGACTTCTTTATTCTTTATTTTGGGTTGAGGGAAGAAATAACACTTGCTGGAAGGAGGCTTCTCAATTAACATGCTGCACTTTCTCTCCACGCAGGGAAGAGATAAGAGTTGTTAAAGCTGTAGTCATCAATTGCAAAAGAGAACACGTTTTATTTTGCTTTGTGCTATTTACAGCTGTTGTCCATTAGGAGTTCTCAGGAGCCCCATTCCCGGCTACAACTGCACAGTCCCATAAGTCTAACTCAGCAATGAGACTGCAAAACAGCACTAAATCATGGTGATGGGGGAGTGAAGGAAATGTCTGGAAATGGCAACATGCAGCTGATGCCTTTGCACAGGCTGGAGTTTTGCTTGTTGCTAGTTAAAAGTACTACAAAGGCAGAGAGTATTGGGAGGCGTATAGGCTGGAACAGAATAGTAATCACATGCTCTGAGGGTGGAAAAATGCTGCTAGTGGCTTTGCAAATGTATCCTGTCATCTTGTTTTTAAGTGTTTGAGGTATGTGCTGTATTTTGGCCTGTGTGTGTGTGTGTGTGTGTGTGTGTGTGTGTGATATATAAACCCACAGCATGATACAGTATAAGAACAATATGGAACAAATATAAGGCTATTGGGAAACTGAGTTCACGCTCACATTGCTTTACGGGGCTCATGATATAGCAGCTCTGCGTGAGCTCTCAGATGTAACTCACTGTTTAATACACACTTGCTGTTTGAAAGAAAGAGAGAGGATGGGGCAAAGAGAGGGAAGGTGTGTTTACCTCCAGATCTGAGTCTGCATCTGTGACATAACTAGGGGGCATAATTGAACTGCATGTGTAGATCCTGAGAAGAACCATGGCCAGCTGATTTAATATAAATGACTAGAAAATGCAAAATTTGGTATCTGTTCCCAGACTGAATTCTTGCTTTGTTAGGCAAGTCACTTGACTTCTCTGCACTATATCTATTCTTCATATGGGTATAATAGCTCTCTTTCTCATGGTGTAATTATGAGGATTCATTCATTCAAGTTTATAAAGCATTTTGAAATGCACAGGTAGGTTTGGGATCCTTGGAAGATGCCGTAAGAGGGTAAGTTTCTATGTATTTGTTAACTCGGCACTTATACAAGTGGTATCAGCTGAACTGTGTACTGTCTAAACAGTACTATTTTATATAAGCTATGGTATCTACTTTGCCAGATTTTATGGCCAGTATAATCACTGTCCCATCAAACAATACATGTATAGGAATAGCCTGTGCGTTAGTTTTAGAAATGATCTGACAGATGTGGACAAACACTTATAAAATAAATGCTGGCTTGTCTAGAAGCAAAAACTCAGTCAGTTTGACTGTTAATAGTGGCCCAAGATGGGACCAAAATATAACTTCTGTGCACGTTTTCCCACTCCCCTTGTTTTTTCCACAGTTGCTATCCAGCAGGTCTCCTCCCTCTACTCATCACTTTCTTCTCCATGGCTCTTCCCTTCATTTACTCCTATCTTATTGCATTCCCAGATCCTGCCTCCTCTGCCCCTGGAGCATGTTCAGCACAGATGCAATCCTCACTGAACTTATCTGCCAAACTTTCAGTTGTGGATCAAGAATTTTTAGAAGCATATCACCAGGCCAAATGTGGGGTTTTTTCATGGGAACTGCAAAAAGCATGTCTTTTATAGTCAGACCGCAATCCCAAACACATTTCAAGTCTCTGTTCCAAAGTTATGATGTGATGGACCTTCTTAGGGAACTATTTTGTATGAACTGACATCGGCAAAATAACATATTTTTCTCTAAACTCTTTCCCAGAATGAGTTGAATGCTTCAGCTGAAACCCTCAGCATGGAAAAGTTCAGCTCTGGCAATTAAAGTCTGACAAAGTTTTTTACAAGGAACTGAAAACCATTGTCTTCTCATCCAAAACACTAGGCAATCTTAATGAAAGGTGCTACTATACCCATACCTGTAGTGCTTCCTGAAATGAGGGTAATATTTGTCTCCTGCTTTAAAATGGAGTAATGGTTGGACTCAAAAACTGTCCTCTTTGCCCATCTGCGTAGATTTTTATGTACTGTTTTTCTTCCTTTTACAGGCAAAAAGGCACACATGGCTGTGATACTAGTAGTTGTGATACCCGTATAACACCAGTCAAGTAATTATAGCAAAAGATGAGAGAGTGGCCTTAGGGCAGGGATTGGCAGCCAGTGGCCCATGGGCTGGACCAGACCAGATTGTATTTAGCCTATGAAGTTCAGCTGTTGGTGGCAGGGGTCAGCAGGAGCAGGGGATATTAGGGGGCAGTGTGATGGGAGGTAGGCATTAATTCAATCCTGATTCCTGGTTTAGGGGTTTCCCATGATGCTGAGCTCAGACCTGAACCCAATTTGGGCCCAAACCAGATCAGATGTCTTTAAATGCTTCATGTCAACTGGTTTAGGAGAAACTGCCAAGATGCTCTTCATCCATAGCAAGTGAAATCCTTTTCTGGTTTCATTTAAGTATCAGTGCAATTTGACATTTAGCTCATAGGGCCAAACTTTCAAAGAATGGCCTCCAACGTTTGTAGTTGCAGGCTGATGCGCTTCTGTACGCAGGTGGAAAACTCTATACCATAGCATGTGCATAGCATCACGGAAGCTGACACACTTGAGTTTGCGCAGATTACATAGGGAAAGTCCTGGGTGCAAATGTGGAGGCTGATTTGCAAATAAGGTATTTATGTTGCCCTGTGGGGCCAGTCCAACCCTCAGGATCTCAATATTGCACTGTTAGACAGGAGGGCGTGGTGTACAATTGCACATTCACACACTCAAAAATCAATTGGATGCGCGCGTGCACACATACACACACTACCAGTTCAGGCACATACACATCCAAACTAGCCTAAGCACATGCATACCTAACACCAATTCAAGAACATACACTATACACCCCAAAAGTTAGACAAAAATCAATTGTCCATACCTGCACACTCTTTACACATACACAGATCACTAATTCATATATCACACATACAACCCACCTACACATAGGTAAGTTCCTAACTTGGATGGCATGGTATATATGTGTGCGCTTGGGGTACCTGGGATACTTGGGGCAAGGTTAAGGTGAGAGAGAGAGTTAAAGTGTAGGGAGTGAAAGTTGCCAGAACTGAGATGAGAACCTGTGGATTGGAGAGAAGCTGGCTGAGGAACTGAGGCTTGGGGTTACTTAAGGTAGATTGGGGCTGGAAACTGAGGCAGACAGCTGAGAATTGGGGGGGGAGGGGGCAGATAAGTGGTGGCAAGGAGGAGACAGCCAGGAAAGAGAGAGAGGCAGAAACCTGGGAGCCTGGGGCTGCAAACAGGCTGACAGCTGAAAGACTGTGGGGGGCAGATAAGTGGAGGCAAGGAGGAAACAGGAAATGGACAAAAACCCAACTCAGGGTTTCAAAATAACAAGTTTAATAAACAGACAACACACTACCCAGCCCCATGAAGTTATTGGTTCTCTCACACATGCGCACGCCCACACTCACAATGGCAGCAGGAGAAAGGGCTGGAGTCTAGGTAGGGAAGAGAAGCAGAGTCCAAGTCCTTGGTTGAAGACGGGGTGGGGATGATAGCTACCTATCCAGGCTGGAAAGGGGTCCTTGTCCATAGGGGAGGTCGCCGGCAGGGCCTTTGGGTGGATAGATGGTGTGGCATGGTGCTGGTCCAGAAGGAGAGGGAGTCTCAAAGAGTCAGTCTTCACTACCCCTTTTTATGGGGCAGACTATCTCTGATCTCCTATGGGGAGGGCCTGTCCAGGCAATGTCAGTCCTGTCCCAGAGGGCTTCGCATGTTATAGTGAGCATGTGCAGCCTGGCAAAATGGTGGGTTGCCTTATCTTTTGTGTCTTGAGTGCTGAGGGTGGTTCCAAGGGCTGGGTCGTTTGGTCCAGGTATTGGTGTTGATGGTTTAGTCATTCAAAGGGAGCTATTTTTAGACCTACTGCCATTGTCTCTTAAGCACCCTCATTCATCCCCATTCATTCAGGAACCAAGTTACATAGGAGGGATAGGTATGAGTCATGGGTTACACAACTGGGCCTGGGGGCAGGATGGAGACTTGACAAGCAAAATGGAAACTTATCATGACTTATGCTAACTTACATATGTAGGCCTAAATCATATAGTACCAGTAAAACAGTAATATAGAAAAGTAAAAGTCAATATAAACGTAATAACTATACAATATAAAGAAGGAGAAAAAATAAAACAAATGCAACTTGCTACCAGAATAAAACGCTGAAGCTTATCTTATATCTTAGCTCACTTTTATAGTTATTTATAGGGAATAGAGATGGAAAGAAAAACCCAGAAATGGTTGGGGAAAGGGAGGGAATGCATTTTAAAAGGGAAAGAAAAATGGGGTTTTGCTACATTTAGAAATAGGAAATGTCAAGAGCAGGTAGCACTGCCTCTCTCAGGTTCTTTATATTGCTCCATTGAAGAATTAACAGGCAAAATGCCACCTAAAAGGTAAAATGCAAAGCAATGTCACATCAAGGTTTTGCTTTCTGTTTTATAGGCAATCGACCTTATGTGGTTCTTGTGGCTCGTGTTCACCCTGGTGAGAGCAATGCCAGCTGGGTAATGAAGGGGACCTTGGAGTTCCTAGTCAGCAGTGACCCCATTGCTGAGCTCCTGAGGAAATGTTTCATTTTCAAGATTATCCCCATGCTCAATCCAGATGGAGTCATCAATGGCAAGTGAGTTATAGCAGTCTTTTGCTTGCTATGGGGGGGTGCCTCTGGCTGTTGTAGCTGGGTCTGGTTATCAAGTTTTTGCAATGTGTTGTTGAGAGAACATCCTTCCTATGGATCCCATTATCTTACGCCTCCCATTGTCACAGGTAGGGAACGGTCTCCAGGCCAACCCTCTTCTCATATCTCTTTTGTGTAGGAAGCTACAGCTGTAAACAGCATTCAGCAAGAAGAGCTCTCAGGTACCAGAACACAGCAGTGCCACTCCCCCATGAGCTAGCTTGGCTCTGGTTGGCTAGGTGTAGAACTATCTGTGTTGCTAAATCATCAGTGCAGACGATACCTGCAAGGCAGAGATGCTGGGGAATAACTGGCTTTAATTAAATACTTTGTCTAGCCTGAGGCAGGGTAGATGAATAACAATATATTTTACCTTTACCGTTTCACTTAAATTTCTCCATCCAGCAAATCTCCTTCTCTCTCCCACATCTTTCTTTTTTTTTCTCTCCTCCACATTTCTGGATAGATTTTTTTTTTTGAATATTCCCATGCTTGTGTGAATGCTAACTTATCATGAATTGGCCTTGAAGTCGTCTTCACGCTACTCCTTTCTTCTTCAAGCCATCATATGCACGCTGCCTCTCTACTGACGTGAAGGAATCTCTATTCTGCTTCTGGTATAAAAATGGAAAACATGGTGGCCAAGGAAATACAGCATCTTTGCCTCAGGGCTGGCCAGTGCCCTCAGGATACGTGGACTTTGTGTTGTTTGGCACAGCCTTGGATGTCTCTGACTATAGCCTTTGCCTATCTGGGTTGGGTAGTGAGTAGTGGTGGAATTACATAGATGGCCCATCTCTATGGTGAGGAAGTCTACCCCTGGTAGGGGCTGAGGAATAAACCTGCCTGTTGTTGATAGCTAGAGGAGCTATTTTTGTTGATACAGTGAGAGGGACTTTTGTTTCTGATGCTAATGATCTTAAATTTGATCCTCACTGTTGCATGCTTGCAGCTTGTTGCATAGTTGTTGTCCCACTCCACATTGCATTGGACATGCAGGAGAATGGTTTTGGCTGAAAAGTCGACGGTACCTCCAGGCTTTCCTGAGTCTGTGACAGTGTGTTGTGACAGCAGCCTCCCTCGGGGTGCGCTGCCTCTTCTGCTTCTCTTGCTGGCTGGGTGGAACCCGTGAGTGGGAAGGCAGCAGCAAACAATGAAAAGCAATGATGAGAGAGAAATGAACCGACAGCCTCAAACTTCCCTAAGTATAATTCCCTGTTTCTGAACAGATCTCAACTTAAAAGGCAGGGCATGTGTACATCCAAGAAGAAACAATGGTACAGAGACTTGGCGAGATCACAAACAGCAATGCTGGCAATGGAGTCTAATCCTTCTGAGTCCGTTGTCTTCTCCACTGGAACACACTGTCTTTTGGCAGGGCTTAGCAGGATGTGAATTCACATGAATGACAAATGATTGCTATTATTTATACAGAAGCAGTGCTTACAAGCTCCAGTCATGGTCCAGCTGCCTCCCCTTGCCCCATACTAGCTAGTATATAAACACATAAGATAGACCCTGCCCCTTAAAGAACTTAAAATCTAGCTGCTTTTAGGTCACTCATGTCTTTGAACCTGTCACTTGGTTTTGGATCTCCACTGCTCCGTTTTTACCCCTGCTCTCCAAGAGATTGGCCGGGACATTGAAGGGTCTAAGAACAAGTCTGTGCTGGACTCTCCCACCTTGCTCCTTGAGCCTCATTTAGGCTGCACCATCACAGCCTCTAGAGTCTAATGCTCTCTCTCCTGGACTCTTGGGTTGCTGCTTCCCCTTCCCAGTTCACAGATTGCGGCCTTGTGCCCCCACGCCAGAGCAGGTTAAGGTCCTGTGGATCTCTTGGGCACAAGGATCGTGCTGAAACTGGACCTCCAGGCCTAGTAGAGGTCCTATTGACTGGGGTCCGGTGCAGCAGCGTGCTGCCCTCCATGCTGCCATTCCTGCACCAGGCTCTGCCCAAGCGTCTTGCCTCCTCTCTCATCAGGCTGTGACTGTACTCTCTGCCTCCTTTAGGAAAACTCTTAAAGGAGCCAGCCAGAGCAGTCTGATCGAGAGGCTTACCTTGAGCATCCCTCCCTGGCTCTGGCTTTTTAATGAGCAGAACGATTGCAAATCTGTCCACTTCAGAAGTGCAGACCCCTATAAATCTCTCCCTGCCTCCCTCTCTTTTTGTGCCACAGTATTAATGTTGCTCCAGTCCCCTTATCTCAGCATCTTTCCTTATGTAGGAGAGGATTTTTTTTTTTTGTTGTTGGCAGAGTTTGAAGCTCCTTGCCCTCCCCCCACTATCCTGCATGCCAGAGCATACATAATACTTCATTGCCAGTCACTGAGATGGATGCCAGCGCAGTGCATTTACAAAGGGTTCCTGCCAGCAACCCAATCGCCTGCTCCCTGCTGGCTCCCTGCCAAATATCCAGCCCAATGGAAGAGTGCTCTCATCCCAGGAGGGCACCACACGGTCACACTTCAGGAGCCAGGTGCAGTAACCAGATGAGGAGGGCCTTGGTGTTTGCTTCGGCTAATGTGATCTGAAAGTTGCATGCGGCAAATATTCCTCTTATGCAGACGTGACTGCAGTAATGTGATTACACTCCAGCAGCGTGGGGCCAAGATCTCTCCTCCTCCCTCTGTCTCCTCCCCTCCACCTTCCTGGCTTTTCATTTCATTCAGTGCTTCTGTAAGCCAGCCCTCTCCTTCAGCAATGGAGGTAATTACATCGCTGTATCTTACTTTAAAAGATGGTGTGTGTGTGTGTCTGTGTATGGGGAAGCAGTGATCCTCATTTACAAGTCCAGGTCACTAACCATCACCTAGCAGAACTTGGCTTTTTCCAAACTAGAAAGAAATTATAAGCATCATGCTGGGCCGGTTGTTGTATGTGACAAAATGCACTGGTTCATTAATCTGCCCTAGAGGCCAGCAGTCGGGTGCAGGCCCTGTTAAATGATATTCAGGTAACAGAGCTGATCAATTTTTTGCTTGCATCTTCTAAATGAAATACTAGACATTTAACTTCACTACTCACTGAGACCTGACCAAGAAGCGAACACTATATATAAGCATACAAGGATGAATTGAACTGGCTGAATGATGTTTTGGTCAATTTTTAGTTCAAAGGAAAAAAAAAAAAAAAGAACCAATATAAAGTCATCCTTTGAGAGAGAACAGGGTGTGTGACTGCAATAGCAGTTGTCTTTGCCTGGGTAATAAAGAGTGTCCCTGAGTGCTGCCCCCAGGCATTGTTTACTCTCAGAAATGGGTCTGGGTACCAGGAGACCTGGATTTTATTCCTGGTTCTGCCACTGATGGGCTATGTAGCTTTGGGTGAGTTGATGCTCCCTTCTGGCCTCAGTTTCCCACTTCGTTAAATGGAGGTAATAATGGTCTCCCAGATTTGTGAAATACTTCAAAATCTGCTGATGAAGAATTCTGCACTTGTGCTGAGATGTGGTATGTTTTCTGTTCAGAGCCAACCAGCTTCCATTTTTAAATACTGTATTTGTATCTGTTTTTGACTTGTACAAAAGCACAAAGTTTTTAAGAAGAGCCTGGCTGCAACTTAGGGAAAAAAAGTCTTCATGCGTCTCGGAATAAAACCTTTAAAGTACCTTCAGATGAAGTTTATTATTATCTGAGTTATGTAGTATGATCTGAATCGGGATCTGCAAGGGGACTGGTACCAGGATTAAACTGGCGGTGCACAGGGAGGTTGTATGATGAAGGGATATAGACATTGCACTATTATACTGTTCCAAACCCTTGGCACCCTCCCATTAAAGAGCCCATGCATCCTCACATCCTTAGGATGCATCCTCCCCTAAATGGCCTATATGCACAGTTCATGCATGGCTGCATCCCTTGCATTTGTGTGCACATGCACACAAGGAATATAAAACTCTAGAACACTTGGTTCAGAGAGATGATACTTATTAGACCAACTAAGAAATAGCAAAAAAAAAAAAAAAATCTTCTTTTTTCTGCAAGCTTTTGGGCACACGTGCCATTCCTCAGGCCCAGCGAAAATTAAAGATGGTAAAAAGTCCCCATAGGTAGAAAATAAACTTAATTTTTGCACAGAGGAAGCTGAAGGTGGAAGTCTGTTCCTCTGGGTCCATGAGAGTGCCTTTGCATGGGTTGCTCTTTGATGGGCAGATAAAGCAGGATTCCTTCCCTGGTGGGGTCAGATGACAGGCAGGCAGGGAAGTGGAGGTGTAGAAATCTTTCTTGTTGTTCAGCAATGAAGTTTTAAATCCAAAATATAAATACACATGCATTCACTTGTAATGCACACATGCCTGTACTCGTGCTCAGGAAAAGGTAGTCAGCATTTTGTGTTCTTGGCTGGGCTTCTCCAGACATTGCAGTTCTGGATAAATATCACTATTTATTGTACCTAAATTTAGAGTTATTAATTATATCAGTATAAACCTAATTTATATCACCATAAACAGCAATAATAAATACTGCCAAATGCTAATACCCAGTGCTTGCCAACTGTGCCTATGCTTGATGGGTTTTTTCCCACTTCTCAGAAGCATTAAATTAACAATGATTCAGCCGTGCAGGATCATTGATCACACAGGGAGTGGAAGCTTGCACAGGAATGCTCTTGTTTCACATGCAAACTACCCATTCATTCCCTATACAGATTGGATTCCCACATTTTCCCATTCCCAATCCTCCTACTGCCAGAGCCTTGCTCGGCTAGCAGTACAATCTTAGTCCTGTCCCTGGTCTTTCAGCCTGTCCTCCTAAGGCATGCTTCCCAGGCCTGTAATAAATTTTGTTGCTCTGCACTGAACTCTTTCCAAGCTGTCCACAACCTTCTTGAAGAGTGGGGCCCAAAGCTGGACACACTATTACAGGTGAGGCCTCACCAGTGCTGAATAGAGTGGAAGAATCACTTCTTTTGACTTGGAAGCAACACTCCTATTAGCACAGCCCAG